TGTGTGTGTGTGTGTGTGTGTGTGTGTGTGTGTGTGTGTGTGTGTGTTGGGGAAATGTATGCAGAAACACTGTAAAGTTTGCCTTTATCATTTCTGCTTTAGATCATGATGTTTTAATGTTCAAGAGAAGCAAGCGTGCTAGTTAGAGCTAACTCGTGCAGGTGACTGTAATAATAAATGTTCAATATTTATAGCAACTCTGTGATATTTTATACTGTTGTCATACCCTGGTGTTCTCATAAAAACATTGTGGTGAAGGGTTTATTAATATAAACCAGTAGATTTATTATGCGGATGCTAGTCATGACCATCCTAAAGGGTTAGTACAGATTTCTTTGTAAGTGGGGTTGTATGAGATACTTTTCCAACCTACAGTACATGGCGGCTGTCAACAGACAGGAGTACCAGCTCGGGGGCAAAGTAATGTACTGCTGTGGACGGGGTCAGCAGCAAAATGTATTTTAACCACCTAAAAAAAACAATATCAGTTTAAGCGTACGCTATATTTCCAATATTTGCACTACTTTACTTTGCTTCAGACAGCATTTTCCAATGGGGAACTGAAGCTGTCATACCCCATCTATGCTCTCTTCAAAGCTACAAGACTCCTTTCACAAAAACAGTCATTTTACCTCACAGAACACAGGAGTTGCTGGTCAACCGCTGCCCCCGATAGGTTAGTTAGTTTGTTTTATTTGTTTGGATTTGGTGTTTTAAAGGGTCAATTCGGATTCACCAAAGCCCCAAAATAAGACAAACAAACTAACAGATCGAGGCAGCGGTGGACCAGCAACTCCTGTGTTCTGCCTGGTAAAAATGAGTCGGGTGCTTGCGTGCCCGTACTCCTGTCTGTATTTCCAAACTGGGGAGCGTGCTGACCGCCATCTTGGTAATAAGTACCTCATACAACCCCACTTCAAAAGATCCGAACTATCCCTTTAAGGCACATTCCAATGCAGCATAGATGGGATGGTTCCCCATTTTTACTTTTTCTATTTTTGGGGCAGGGTGACACAGGTCTTTACCATCTCACTCCTTTTTAGTGAATGTTTCAAGAGAGAATGGGGTGGTTAGTGCGAAAATCCCAGAATGTCTGTTATGGAAGAGAGGGGAAGCACCAAGGACTTGTCTGCAGGGCACACATCCCCTTTTCTGCATGGTGTCCAGATCTGATCTGGGTCTGATCTGGCATTGACTGAGGTGCTGTGAGAGAGCTATAGATTCTCTGAGAGTGTAGCCTCCTGACTTTATATCTATTGCATATTGTATTTTGTCCTGTTAAACTTGGTTCATGTTTTTCACAATGTCAGCGTGTGTGTAACGTATGATGTTTTTTTAACCTTTATTAAATCATGAAAGACTGACACATTAGTACACCTGGAACCTTTACATTCTTCAATGATTTTCCAAACCATAAGGTTATTAATGTACGTGATGGCACATCTCTGTTGACAGACCTGCTTTACTGCAGCAGTGGAATTGAGACTCTGACGTCAGTTCTCAACATGAAAGCATGAAACAAACTCACCGGCAATAAATTTATTGCACTCATAGAAACATATATTTGCATGGAGCGAAAACATCCAACAGACCGAACACAAGCACTGTTGTCTCGTGCTTGTTGTCTCACTCCTGATGGAGAGATAACCCAACCGGCACAGAAGTAAGAAGTAAGAGACTACTCCATGGCCTCGCAGTAATAATGTAAGTATTTGTTCGAATATAATTTTGGTGATTGGTTTTATAGATACAGAAATCTTGGTGATGGACTTCAAATGTCCCTTTAGGTGGAACTGTATGACAGATGTTCCTCTATTTGGCCATCAATAAAAGCCATAGCCTTTTCAAATTTTACCTTTTTGAGTTTTGAATGTTTTTTCATTTTAAATTTTAGATTCTTTCTGTATTATCATTAGCAGTGACCCCCATACTGGACTGGACTGAATGGGAGGGCTCATATATGTCACTTATTGCTGTAATGAGTTCAAATCCTTTTTGAATTGAACTATATTCAAGTTAAAATCAAGTGTGGTTCTTTGATAAAGGGGCGATCTGCTTGTATGTCTTTACCACTGGTGGAATCTGGAGGGTGAATTCATATTTGTGGGTTTTTGGATTTCATAGAAAGAGCAGCAAAAGAACAGCAGAGGGCGTCATACATGCAGCTCTGCTGTTCTTTTGCTTTGTTTAGTTGCTTTTTGTCCGACTGTATGTCAACATTTTATAATAACCATCATTAATAAAGAGTACATTAATAGTTAATTGTAACTTAGTTAGGAATTATCATTGATAATGTTTACTAATTATTAGTTTTGCTATCATTAGTTTGTGTAATTTGAAATAGTTATATTGTATCATAGCTGATAAGAGACGATAATAATTACATTCTGATTATATTTCATATATTATATTAAGTAATTGTTAATGATTACCAAATGATTTGTTAACCTTTCATAAATTGTTTGTAAAACATCCATACACATTACGTAGACAGATGGACCAGAAACCAATTATTAGCCATTGACAAAGTTTTAACTATCTGTCCAAATAATGTTAGTAGATGCTTTACATTCAAGTATTTATTAACCATTTAACAACGTTTTAGAATCATCAGCTGCAACTTTAGCCATCCAAATAATGTTTACCTACCAATTATTAGCCAAAAGTGGTACAAGTATCTTTTCTGCAATGTTGATGTTCATAGATGTTTTACAAAGTGATTTCTTCATGTTTTACAAATCATTTGGTAATAATTTACAAATGTTACGATGTGGGCAAAAATAAATTGTTAAAATAACTTAAATTAAGTTGTAAAATAATTGTAATTGAATTTTTTGTTAACAGTAACATATTGATTTAATGAACTATAAATGTATCATTTATGAATGAGGGTTATCATAAAGTGTCATCCTGCTTTTTATCCTTCCATCAGACACGTATTCAGAGGAAGTACAATGGTTCCCTTACTGCTGTTACTGCTGCTGCCTGAAGCGCTGGCTGACCGAGGTATGAATTTTATTTTCCATTTTGGTTTCATACACCAAAGACGGAGTAATGCATCAGTTCTAGATCAGCAAAAATAGATAGTATTAATTTCGTTAATTATGTCTGCCTCTTTTTGCTCTTTATTTCTGACTTCTCTCAGTCTTAAAGGAACAGTGTACCTGAAAATATAAAAAAAGTAGCTACTACCCAGCCTAGTTCAACACGGCAGGAAAACAGCACACGGTTGGTTATCGAGCACAGCAGAACAAAGAAGAATTGGCTAAACGTTGGTTCTGTAGAGTTCAAAAAGAAAAAAATAAAGAGTATTGAAAGTCAAGTGATTGCACAAACGGGTCTAATAAAATGCCACTGTAGCTCAGCATCTCTTAATCTCTTCTGCAAAAAAGGCTTGCCATTTTTCTTTCTTGTACTGTGAATGTATGTTTGCCTGCTTGGAATTAAAAAAAAATGTCCTTCAATAAGACGTCAACTAAACCATTAAAAAAAAGATGAGAAGTCCTTTTTTGTATCATTGTTACTGAATATTTGTAAAGATGCAGTGAGTTGTTCCTCATCTCCTGTCTCTGTGTTCAGTTTGTTTCAACATTTCAGATGGTGACATTATTATCACCATGGAAAATATCAAGGTGGTGGTTCGTGACATCGTTGTTGAGCAGCCTGGTTACATGAGATGCTTGGCGAATAGCTCCCCCTGCATCTTTCAGTGCACCTCCAACAATTTGTCGAAGTTCAATGAACCCTTTGATTGCTTACAGGCTAGCGTGTCACCTGATGGGGTTGCGGTCAGCATAGAATCATGTGAGTACGCTGAATCTCAAGCAGGCCGTGCATACACTCTAACTCAAAGAGGTGCTGTGCCTGATTCATATCCATCCCCATCTACCCTGTCTCCAAAAAAACAGCCTGATTATAGATCTGTACATTAAGTCTGATTCCTCTCTCACTTGGCAGATTGCAATTGCAGTCTAAACTTATGCAACAACTCGACCCTGCTGTGCCTGATTGATTCGCTGAAAAGGGAAAGCTCTTACCAGGAGAACATAATGCATCTCCTCTACTTTAGGGATTCGTGTCCACTGCTCTTCAGTAGGGACCATGCAATCAAGGAAGCCTTCATAAGGTCAGTGTCAGACCAGATTCTTCGTGTACTCCTTCGGCTGCTGCTCTGCAGACAAATTTAGTTCACACTGTTTTCTATGAATCTGTTTTTAGCCTGGGCGCTAGTGTTAGCAATGTCGGTCCGTCAGCTGGTCGACCACTTTGGTCCAGACTGAGATACCGCAACAAACATTCATGGTTCCCAGAGGATGAATAGAGGATTTGAACAAAAAAACTACCCGGCAATTACACTAATGTATATAAAAAATATATATTTAGTCACCGTAACGTCACCCATTTGTTTGAGGAATGTACGGTTTTAAAGTTCAGACTATTCACTGTCGCCATCTTTTTTTTAAATTTTTTAACCAAAGTGACACCAGAAACAGTGACACAAGAGGGTGGAGCTAAGTACAACCAAATGTCTCAATCTCAAACTAGAGATTGAGACCATAAACTCATTTTTACATTTTTACAATGTTTACTAAGGTAATAAATCAAGTGAGAAGTAGAGTCATTTTCTCACTGACTCCTATACAACCCCTGAGGCAGTTACTCATGATGCTCAGCATCTCAGCTGGCAAATGTGGAGAAAGAAGTAACAGCTAAAGAGCTTAATACATGATGTCTGATGACTGTTGCTCCAGTATACATACTATATTGAGGGGTCTGGGGATCATAGAATGTGACTGATAGAAATATCTCAAATTTTCTAAATATTTGTATTACCGAAGAACAGATTGGATATGATGGAGCCATTAAGGTAGCTTTACATTTTCTAAATAAAATCTATAGCTTAATTTGAATAATTTTTCCGCCTCAGGCTAATATTATAGGACTAATTATAATACCTGCGACTTAATATTATGGAA